AATCAGTCTGCTTCTGAATGTCCCTCTCAAAATTTTGGAAAGTAGCTAAAGTCAACAACTCAAGTGGACTCATCACACAGTCTTCAGAAACTAACATGTTAGCCTTTGCTCTGAGTGTGCATACGCAAAATAGATCCGACGAGTCTTACGCTGAGATAAAATGTAAATATTCCTGCTTCATCTACTCTAGAGGAGCTAAAAGAAAATAAGATGATTTTGTGAATCACTTTTGTTAATATCTATCTGAACTCAACTTTTCTATTTGAAAACATTACAGCATAGGAGCAAGTGATGTGCCCTGTGCTTACAGCATTCATCTTTCAGCTTAAGTACCGTCCTAGGCCATTTCTGTTACATGTATCATGGTGGCCTCATACTATCTTCTAATATTCCCATTTTCAGCCCGTTCACTTCACAGAAGACTACCAACCAGACTGGGGTGGGGAACCTAACGCCCAAGAGCCAGATGCGGCCCCTGGCATGCCTGGATCCAGCCCCTGAGGCTCAGGGCTCCCCCCCTCCCCGGCACTGAGAAGTCCACATTGGCACTTCAGACTCCCACTGCTTCCTCATGGGGCTGGAGCACACAAAATCAACTAGTTTAGGCCCCACTAGTCTATGGAGTGCGAGGGGAATGTAGGGAGTGTCTTTCTCCTTCTCAGTCAGGGGTCATGTCAGTGAGGATTTGTTTTTTGTTTTTTTGCTTCTCACTTGTATGCAGCCCCTGACTGATGTTTCTGTGGGTCAGCGACCCCCAACACAAAAAAGATTCCCCACCCTTGAACCAGAGAAATCAAGCCATACTGTTATGTGGAATTCTGGATAAATGAAATAAAGTCCATGAAGCAGGCCATATGATTACTAATATTCAACATGGAGAAGTAATTTGTCTAGCCACTGGAAATAGGCCAGATGAGTCTTTTTCCATCCCCTTTAAACAGCAAATCTTTGTGTGCTGACTCTGCATAATGGCGGATGTCTACCTGAACTACAAAGACATTGTGATGGCTGAAAGCCCCTAAGAATGTGAACAGGGCTGGTTATCTTGCAAGATCATGTATCTTGACTGGAATTTTGAAAAACAGAAAGAAGCTGAGCCCTATTAAGAATCCACTTCATAATTCATCTGCAAACCAGCTACCTACTTGTCCATTTAATCTTCAGTATCATCAGTGGGCTTTATCGATTCATTACAAAGTGACACAGGACAGAATCTGTTCCTGCATACTCTTCCCTAGAAGCCCCCTAGAACTGCTTGCTTTTCAGTTTGTTAAGCATACAGACATGCTTAGCAGAAGCACACAGCCACAAATGGAATTCTAGAATCTTAGAACACTAGACCTGGAAGGGACCATAAAGGTCATCAAGTCCAGTCCCCACCTGCATGGCAGGACCAATCAACATCCAGATCGTCTCTTGTAGATGTCTGTCTAACCTGTTCTGAAATATCTCCAATGACGGAGCTTCCACAACCCCCCTAGGCAATCTATTCCCGTGTTTAACTACCCTGAGAGTTAAGAAGTTTTTCCCATTGTCCAACCTAAACCTCCCTTGTTGCACTCTTAGGCTATGTCTAAACTACAAAGATTTTTTGAAAGACAATATGCACATTCTGTGGGAATTTGGATGAGGGGGAGAGTCTGGATGGGAGGGTTCTTGAAAAAAACGCTCTCTTTCTAAAAAAAGGAGGTTTATGCAGTTTTTCGAAAAAGGGTTTTTTCCCCGAAAAAAACGCATCCAAACTACTTTCGCTTTCGAAAGATCCTCTCGATCGAAAGAAGATATGTAAATTCCTGCAGAATTTGCATATCCTCTTTCGAAAAATCTTTGTAGACATAGCCTAAGAGTGCAGTAAGAGAGGTTTGGGTTGGGCAGTGGGAAAAACTTTTTAACTCTCAGGGTAGTTAAAGACCGGAATAGATTGCCTACGGGGATTGTGGAAGCTCCATCATCGAGATATTTCAAAATGTAGTCTAGACATGCCCTACATGTCCATTTCCTCTTGTCCCAGCATCAGAGGCCAAGGAGAACAACTTTTCTCCCTCCTCCTTAAATACTTGAACATCCCCTTAGATACTTGAAAATGGCTATCATGTTCCCTCTCAGTCTTCTCCTTTCCAAACCAAACAAGCTCAATGTCCCCAGTGCTCCCCCATAGGCCATGTTCTCTAGACTTCCAACCATCTCTGTTGCTCTTCTCTCTTGGATCCCCTCTAAATTCTCCATGTCTTTCCTGAAATGCAGCGTCCTGAACTGGACACAATTCTCCAACGGACGCCTAATCAGTACAGCGTAAAGTAGAAGAATTACTTCTCGTGTCTACTCATTTTCAGTGTGTATTACCTCTTGCACAGGATGATGGACACTGTGGGAGTAGATTAAACTTGCAACTATAATGGGGCTTGGATCCCCTCTAAATTCTCCATGTCTTTCCTGAAATGCAGCGTCCTGAACTGGACACAATTCTCCAACGGACGCCTAATCAGTACAGCGTAAAGTAGAAGAATTACTTCTCGTGTCTACTCATTTTCAGTGTGTATTACCTCTTGCACAGGATGATGGACACTGTGGGAGTAGATTAAACTTGCAACTATAATGGGGCTTAC